CCTCCAGCTCAAACACACCCGCCCCAGCCGCGACATGGCGCTGCGGGCACTCACGCGTCACCAGGTCGAAGCATTTCTTCTCCTCGGCGTGGGGCCGCACTTGGCAGGTGAGGAGGTTCAGCTTGACGGGGGGGCGGTTGATCTGCAGGGCGTGAGGACGGGAGAAGGTTAATTAAAGGACCGGGAAAAGGTGGGACGCGCATCACCAAGCGCGTACCTCCGATGACAACGCTGGTGGGACAGCAGCCATCCCCAGATGGTCCCTCTTGGGACAACCAGGTGAGCGGGACCCTCTCTGACACTTCGTAGGAGAATGTCCCTGCGCCCGTCCTCTGTCCCCGCTGCAGTTCGCAGCCTCCACCGCCGGGGGGCAGCACCCCCCTCCCCAAACCACCCCGGTGCCCCTTTGGCCTTGTCTGGAACCTCAACGCCCATCTCGCTGCTCCAGTCAAACCCACCGTCCCCTCCCATTGACATCTAAACAAACACGGGGGAACCCATTTAGCACATCCAGTCCCAGCTCGTACTAGGTTTTAAACCGGGCAGATTTGCGACCAGTTTGGGCAAAACTAAACCTGAAATCCAACGGACGCCAACGCTCAAAGGGTGACTTCAAAGGGTCAGGGCTGCTCCTCACCGTGCTGTGGGAGATGGTCAGACAGCCGTACTTCACGCCACACTTCCTCTTCTGCCAGACTTTGCGGATCCTGAAGAGGAGGAAGAGGAGGAGTGAGGCCGTGTCGCGCAGCCCTGGTCACCCACATACATCCGCCTCCCAAAACCACCCATGGCAGCCCTCGGGCAGAGGCCTGATGGCTTTCTGGACGTGGGGTTGTGCCTCCTGTAACTCACAGAGCACAAAACGGCTTGCTGAGCCGGCTGGCCACAGGCCACGCTGGCTACAGCATCACAGATCTGGTAGTCCCAGTTCAGCAAAGCACGTGCTCGAAGCCCATCACCCAGTGGTCCACTGAGAAGGTGAAGACCTTCTCTTTGGGGCTCTAAGGGTTTTATTTTTCACCCTAGATGATCCCACCAGGACCCTTTCTCCCTCCATGCCTGAGAAACAAGGGTTTTCTTCCCCCCGCCATCAGCCGCACAGCTCTTGCTGGAGAACAAGGAGGTGAGACCCCGGGATGGGCGAGGGAGAAGCGGGAAGGAGGGTCGGGAGGGTACTGGGTGCTAAGGAGCACGTGGCACTGAGCGGCTGTTCCTGGAGACCCCCATCCGAGGACACAGCCCCGGCCATTGTGCCCAGCCAGGACCCAGGAGAGCATCGCAGGAGAAGCATCGCAGGCAGCAAGAGCCTGCTGGGGACCTTCAGATAAGAAACGGGTCGATGACACCGTGGGAAGGTCCCCTGCATCACCTCCAAGCCTCCTCCTTCCCCAGCTGCAGCTGGCCACCCACCAACCCCCTGACCACCGGCTCTCAGGTCTCCTCCAGCCTGGGGAAAAATCCCATTCTCCAAGCGTTGATGGATGCGTAAGACCAGACGGGACCAATTGCACCTGAAGACCTGTCTTAAGAGCGACCAAAAACCTCACCCAAACAGTTCCACCTCGGAATTTCCCAGCTCTGGGGCCTCCCATGAGCACGGTGCCCTCCCAGCACACAGCAACACTGGGACGGAGCCGGGAGCTCCTTGGGCAAATAACACTCATCCTCACCCATCGCTTTTCTTGTACAGAAATCCCGACTTCTCCGTCCCGTACTGCTTGTTCCCTTGGTGCTGGTGGATGCTGTAGCCGCTACCAGAGTTCTTCCTGCTCAGGTTTTCCTGAGCTCACCAGGGAAAAAGGGAAAAAAAAAACCAACAAACAACAACAACAACAACAAAAATTAAAAAGCAAAATGAGAGGCATAAAGGCGGTTGCTGCCCCCACGTGACTTCATCCTTACGTGGGCGCAGCGCCCAGCAGAACGCCAGAGACCCCCGTCCCTTCCCAGCCTCCCAAAGTCTCCTCCAAGCATCGCCCAGGTCTCCTGCTCTGCTCCCACCGATGTCCCCTTTGGTCCCCAGCTCCCCTTTCTCCAGCTCCTCCCTGTCCCCCAGCTAAACCCGCGCCCCTCATCGCTCCTTAGCACCCAGTACCCTCCCGACCCTCCTTCCCGGCTCTCCCTCGCCCATCCCGGGCTCTCACCTCCTTGTTCTCCAGCTGCAGGATGCTGCGGAGGGAATCGCGGGTCTGCGTGAGCTGCTTCACCTCCTCCTCTTGGGTTTGGGGGTAGGGGTGGGGGGGGTCACGTCTGAGCGCCGCTGGGGACGGGACTTACCGCGTGGAGGGACACAGCGAGCTTCTCAATGAAGGGGTAGAGGTTCTGGGCAGCCTTCCAGCCATCTTGGAAGAAACTGGGCATTTATTTAACGTGATTAGGACGCAGTACGGGGAGGATGGAAGGGAAAAATAAAAAAATAAAAAAAATTAAAAAAAAAAAAGAGTTTGGTTGGGGTTTTTTTAGCGAAAACGTGGCAGGAGATCACAGAGACCATAGCAACCCCCCTGGGAAGCTGCTCTTGCTTTGTGGTTCCTCTGCTACTGGGAGCTGGAGAGACCCCACCAAAGGCCAAGCTCATGCGATGGGGTCTGGATCCCCCAAATATTTGGGGTGTTTGGGATACAGGATGGGCCTCTCGTTCGACGCAAGCTCATCTCATGGGGACCAGCCCTGCTGGAAGCCAGATCTTGGGGGGGCTCTGGGTTGCAGCGCCAGTCGAGGTCGTGTTCTCGGCCAAGGCGACTGCCCCCTCCCTGCCTCAGTTTCCCCACTCGAGAGCTGAGGGAGATGACACGACACCCACACGACACCACACTCCAGCCTCCCGGAGCAACGGGAAAGGCGAGGGGACGTTAATCCTTGCTCCAAACACCCTCGTTAAAACCCCCCCGGCCAACAGCAGAGCCGCTCGGCTGAACTCATCCCTGGAAATCTATCCAGAAACCAAATCATCGGATATATCCCGAGCCAACCCCCTTCCCCCAGCCCCCACGGACACGTTTACAGCTCCTCAAGCCAACAAAGCACGTTTCAACTCTTCGGATACAACCGGAGAGCAACGGGCTCTGCCCAGCATCTTCACCAACAGCTTTATGGAGCTGAGATGGGAGAAGGTGCCCCCAAACCCTCACGGGACATCCGATGGGTGACGACTGACCCCAGGGGCGAGCCCCCCACCACCGACCCCACCGGGACCTACTTGTGCTGAGCGTGGAAAAACTTGATGAGGCTCTGCAGGAAATCTGGGCCCTGCTTCATCTGAGACTCGCTGGCTTTCAGCAGGTACTGGAGGAGGAGAAGACACCCAGTTAGGTGATGGAGATGAGGACCGACTGCAAATATCCCGGAGGAAAAAGCAAGAGCCTGCTTGGCCCTCGCCTCCCTTCCCCGTGCAGGGAGGAGGGTTAAAACGCTGGCTGGGTTTCAAGAAGTCGAGTCACGACGTTGGATTTGAAGGCAGCTCGCTGGGGACCACCCTCGGAAAACCTGGCTCTGGAAGTCCTCCAAGCCCTGAAAAGTTCAAGGACCGAGGCATGCCCCTGGGGTTTCCAGCCGAGCATGCTTCTCCCGCTGCTCATTACTTCTGGAGTTAATAAATAACCAAAACCCAAGGCAGCTCGTGAAGAAAAAAAAAAGCAATATATATATATAAACATGCTCAAACGTTTTTTTGAGATATGACCCCTTTGCTCC